TTCAAAATTATTGAAGGCAATAAAAAGGAAAATGAAAAGGAAAACTAGAACAATTTTGATGTTATCAATTTTACAGCATCAGTGTGAAAAGGAAAGTGGAAAAAAAGCAGAAAGACTCTCTCTGTGTATGTATCTTGATTTTGTCAGGTTTCACATTTGAGCTTTTTTCCAAAGATTCTGATTTGCAATAGAAGTATTTTTTCTTTGAAATCCAAATTTTAATTTTCAGGCAGTTTTGAGAATAAATCTGGCTGTTTTTTTTGGAAAAAAGAATCCCTTCTATATATGAAGTGAATTGTCTTTTGCTGTCTAAAGAGTTCTACTTTTGGACAGTTAAATTAGAAATAACTAATAATATGTTAATTTATTATATGTCTTTGATTCCAACAATCCTCCCTCCCTGAGTTATGAGAGAAAATTAACTAAACTTGCTTGCTGGAAATAATTATCTTGTGCCTATTCCTGTAAGCCAAGACCGTCATCTGCAAACATGAATAAAGACTATTAATGTCACATGCACTGAATTTGAAGGAAATTTCTTGCAATATGTAAAAGTAATCATATGAAAATATGTTTGCAGGTTGAGACTGTTTTCTCCCCCAAACATATAATGCAGTTTCCACGTGGTAGCTATCTGATATTATGTCTACTTTTGTTTTAACACAGTGAATACTCAGCAGCAGAGTAATACTGCTCACTGCCTTTTCCTTCTAATATTTTTCATGGCAAAAATCCAATTTATACAGTGCAAATAATCATTATTTCCAATAGGCTGAGGATCTTTCCTGGCAAGAGCATAACCAATGCCTTCTACTCCTACTTATGTCATTCATGATATTCCAGTGATGTGACATAGCATACAAAATCCATTACCCATAGAAGGATTGTGGGAAGGGGGAAGGGGGGGAGAGGGGAAAACAGGGAACATGCCTGGTGCTGTGAGGCACAAGGAATTAAAAGCAAAAAGCAAAGCAGGTGGAAAAAAATAACAACAAGGAAGCTTAATACACTGAAGAAGTATGGAGGGCTTGTGGACCTGGGGAACACTGAAATTGGTGGCTTAGTGGCATCGTTCAGTCCCCACATCATTGTGGGGGAGTTAACTATTGTTAAACAGGGGTTTGCCACAGTCCCAAGCCCTTCCCTAGACTGCTTTTGAGGTACAAAGAAAGGACTTTAGCAGCAATCCCTTTTTTCACCTGGAAACCTGCGGAGACTCCGTGCCAAGCAGAGCTCCTCAATTGTCTTTTGCAAAAAGACTCCAGCAGGATGCTAAAGCAAGAGCATGTTTTCATCACCGACTTTGCGAATGGGAGTGACTCATGTGCCATCTGTTTTGTCCCTCCACCGATCATATGCGCTCCCTGTTTGTGCTGGTTAATGCATTTGCCATCTATTAAAGGGAGAGGAAACTTTGGAACAGTCAAAACAAACACGCCTGAGAAAGGCTGAAGTTTTGAAAGGGGCTGCCTGGAAAGCCACTGCCACTCTCTCCACTCTCTCACTTCCCATTGAAACATGAGGTTCTGGGACAAGAACATGCCAGGTGACAACCCACTGAACTCTGACAGCGGGGCAGGGGTTTCTGAGTGTCTGAGGGATGTCTGATTATGGGAAGCAGAGACTGACAGAGTGCACTAAATGCACCATGTCATGCCTGGGCTGGCAAACCCTGCTCCTCTGTGCCCATTGCTACAGCTCCGTGGTGGGCAGGGAGGGCAGTCCTGCTTCAGAGTCTGAGGGAGACTCTTCAACCTGGAAGGGAAAGGACCCAGTGGGAGCTATGACAGCGTGGATTTGTGAACAGTACAGAGAAGGGGAGCAGGGATTGCTCCAAATTGTGTGGAGAAGACCATTCAACCATTGTAAAAACTGTGAGGGAGGGGAACAATACATGAAAAGGGGAAGTTGGCACGTTCAGAAAAGCCGAGGAGCCATTCAGTATTTATCTGAATGGTGGGACTTGCTGCAGGACGCTGAAATCTTACCTGGGGCTTCAAAGGTGCTTGAATAAATGAATGGAAAAAAATTTCCATCAAGAGCACTAAGATACAATGACAGCACCTCCGGCTCATTCTGCAGTGTAAACTCTGCGTGATGTTGGCACTAAAACCTGGACTCCAAATTACTAAGCCTTGTAACAGACTCAAAAGACTGATGCCAGAATAAACTGGAAAATTGGATTATTGGTCCCTTGGTCATGCACGGGCTGAAATTTTGCCACACTTTTCCTCTGAGGTTATGGTGTTCAGTTAAAGAGCCCACCAAGATGGCAATAGCCCCATCTGAGAAGAAGGGCCATGTTGGGGAGTAGCCAGAACACGGCACATTCCACCCCTTTCCTGAATACTAACATCACCATAATATGCTGGTGACAGTGCTTTCTAACAGGACATTAATAGATGGCATAATTGGAGGAAAATCAGCAACAACTTGAGCTCTTCTTAAGCCTAACATCATGACAACAGGCAAAAAGCATAAGCAGGGCCAAGGAATGACTTAGTAGAGCACAGCCTGCCCAAGGAGCAGTCTTCCCTCGACAAACACCATCTTTCCCTCAGTGCCTTCCTGTCATGCTCTTGTACATCATCCCTTCCTGGTTTTAAGATTTTTATATACAAGTATATTGTGGCAGAAGTGCAAGACATGCTGTGCAAATGTGTTAAAAATATATCTTGGTTTTCCTGTCGTTTCAGGTCCTCCTCAGTGGGCAGCCTGACTCGGTCACATACAACACCCCAGAAAGAGCTCATGGGTTTGGTGACGTAGTTTCATCCTCCCAGCTCAAGCCTAGACATGAGCCAGGATGTGTCACTGTCTTGCTCTAGCTGGTTTATGTTTCTCCTTAATCAGTGAAAATGTTACCTAGCTAAATGGGAATGAGGAACAAACTGTACCTATCACCAGAAAAGCTCCCTCGAAAACAGTTTCCAAACATATGCATGAGGTAATGAGCCTGTTTCCCTGACTATGTGTCACAGCACTCTGTGCTATTCTGGTTGTGTTTCACAAGCTGGCATTGCATTTTATTACTCTCTCTCCTGGTCTGCTCTGAGTCAGTCAGTCTGCACAGTCTCAGGCTCCTCTTGTGAGAAACCACAGCTACGCCGGGCAGCTTCTTTCAGCCCCACACCACACCTCTGGATGGAGCATGACTTTAAGCTCTCTCTACTTTTTCATTTTTCCCTTTCCTGTCTCTAGCTGTGTCTTTTTGCAGCGTGATATGAAACCGTTTGTAATGGGGAAAGGTGCACAAACCTTCCCAGTGTCCCTCTCTCCACTTCCTTGCCAGGAACAACAGCCACAGACACACAGTGGTGTCATTCAGTACAAGGAAAAAGTGCCTTCAGAAAATAGGTGCAAGGTGTTGTTGAGAAGGCTCAGCCTTTTGCTTATGAAATCTCTGAGAGCTCCTTGTGCATTACATCAGCTTTATCAACAGTTTACAAATATCCCCCCCTCTGGAAACATTTGTCACAGTAGATTATTTTATTCAGCGCTGCTGTATGTAAAATGCAGAATGTTAATACTTTATTTGGCTAAACATGCATGATTTGGGAAGACAGGTGAAGTGATGGATTAATCATCAGGCTTTTAACTCTCAGTCTTGTTAGCTGCAGTTTTAAATGTTTATTTGAAATTACAGTGTGGGTATGATGTCTAAGTGGAAGCTTAAATTAAAGATGCTTTTACTTTTGGTAATAAGCTAAAGGATTGATTTAAAATCTGTCATTTTCTCTCATACCTGGATGTTCATATAGACTTATCACAAATAACTCAATGACAAAGCTACAGCTACTACATTTTCCTTCTGCTTTCTATGAATGTCTCTAAGCCTTGACCTACAGAAGCTTTCCTACTTATTGTAGGAAAGTAATTTTACAGACAAAAAAAATTACGGACATATGGAGACATGGCTATGAGTCTTTGGCATGGAAATAAAATGAATCCAATTTTGCTGCTCTCATTGAGTGGGCAAATCACCCTTTATACATCTCACAGCTGTTCCAAGTCACCTTCTTCAGTATCTATTCATAGATTTTGTGCTCAAGACATCTCGACTTCAAAGAAATTCTTCTGAGGACAGCACACAGTATTGTCTGGGAAGATAGGGGTATTCCTGCTTTGAATTTGTGCTGTGGAAGAGAGAGGTGAATATTAGTTTTGTCAGAATGTCAATTGAACCAAAAGAATGGAAAAATGTTCATCTGATGCTGAGCCAAAAAGGGTATTTTTAAGGATACGTTGGTGAAACTTAAATGCTTTACTTAAATGAAAAAGAGATTTTTCATTTTGGGAGTATTTAACCCTTTAAACCTTTTTCTGCTCTATATTTGTTTAGATAAATAGTGTTATTTCAGAGAAATTGCTTGCTTTGTTGTCAGACAGAAGATGTAGGTGTTTCTGAAATGAAACATTGATCAAGCAGCATCCAAACACTGTGTTTTGGTGTAATATTCCCAGTACTTTTCCAGCTCTATTTCACAACAAACTTTTTAGTTCCCAGGGATGTTTTGCCCAGTTGAGGCAGAGGCTGGTCTGGGTCAGTGAAAGACAATAAGCAGAAAATCCTTCCTAAAAGAGTTAGAGACAAAAGAACATTTCGAGAAGCAAATCCTTCTTCCTTGACTGGTGCTGGAGGGAATCTGGTGATTAAATGGTCTTTAGTGATGCTGGATGATGCTCTTCTATATTCTACTCCCGGGAACTAGCGTTTATTATCTTTCAGATATGAGGAGAGGTACAAAAGACCTGTGTTGCTAATTGGTGTAGCAGCTGGCATATAGTTATTTGTTGCCAGAGATGTGCACTTTGCATTTAAGGGTTCTAATGTTTTAATTTCATTTGTGACGGCACTGTCTAGAGGCAAAAGCTGTGATGTTTGTGTTCAGGCCCAGCCTGTTCACAGCACTGAAGATTCACCTTGTCTGCCACAGTATATTTCCCCATCCTTGGGTAATATAATTACCCTGAATAAGGAAAGGAAGTGTGAGGAAATCATGCTGAGCCTCACAGCAGCTTGGGGGAATGATGCTGGAGCAACCTCATAACCACTACCAGTGCACTCACCTTAGCTGATGTCCACTTTAGCATGACTTTGACAGGACAAACTCTGGAAAACAGCATTTTCAGGAGTAAAACAGGAGATGAAGGCTTGCCAGCGTCTATCATCTGACAGTAAGTAAGTAAACAAGTTGGCGGCAACATCTAAGATTATCTCCTCTCTGCTTGGGACTGGGTTATATTTCAGCAGAGCCTGTGACAGAAGAGAAGAACTTGTGTTTATTTTTATCTTCAGCTTTCACATTGGTAGTTGTTTTTGTTCCAAGACACTGCGGTGCTTGGAGCTGGACTGGGCTGGAAGGTGTTTGGGTCCAACAAAGGACTTCTGGGGAGTCACATTGCTGTGAGGCCACACAGACACCATTCCACAGTGTAACAGCATCACCTCCAAGGCAGCTCAGACACGCCCTCTTCCAGAGCATGTGGTTTCATCCTGTCACCATTTGCCTTCCTTGGAAGAATTTCTTCTAAACTGCCTTTTATCTGCTTTTCTCCTTCTAAATCTCCATTGCAATTGTTCATAGTTGGCTGTGATTAGTTTGTATTTCTACGGCTTTCCTGCACTGAATAACCACCATTTTATTTTAATTATTGGAACACAATAAGAAAAAGAATTGGGAAGAAAAGGAACAAGCTGTGAGACTATCTATTTGCAGCATTGGTTTCCCGTGTCTACCAAGTTTTTCACTCACCTAGATAAAGGTATTTTATCCTACTCATTCTTATTTGTTTTCTTGCATCAGAATCCTGCTTTGCTTCCTTCCTTTAACTCTTTTATTTATGTAATGTTCCTATTGCAATTTACTGAACTGGAAGAGGATGTTAGAGTTCAAGCTCAGTTTTGGTCTAGTCTGAGCCTCTGTACTTTTTGGAGGACAGGATTTCTTGGGTAAGTGGATTAGTGTCTGTCTTTGTGCTGTTCAGGGCTTCATCAAATTGCTACTCAAATCATAAGAGATAAAACCTTTGGCAGTTAAAACTACATATTTTTGGAACTGCTGCCTTTTGCATAACACACACTTGGGACCTCTAGTTGTTATCTGAGGTCTGAGAGTTTTATCGGATTTATTTTCAGACTTATAATAAAGGGATAGACTCCATTTGGGAAGCAAATTTATTGTCACCCTCAATGGCCTGTTTGTCACTGTGCACAGGAGGATTTTAAATCTGCACTTTAGAAGATAAGAATGAACAGAAGTTCTGCTGATTGTGCTCCCTTTGGCTCCAGGATTTTGTCCAGACATCTGAGCTGTAGAAACAGGGAGGCAGAAGCAGATTGACCACGTTGTTTTATCAACCACTTCAATGTGCAGTATTTTGAGTGAAACCCTGTCTTCCCGCTACGTTGCTCCTGTTCCACATCTGCTTCCCGGCCTCACTCGTGTGCTGCTCTCAGCTTTGCTGCAGGAAACACGTAGCACAGTGTTGATCACAAACATTACTACAGACTCTTTTATTTAGCCAAGAGCAATTGCAAAATGGGACTGTGTCTGCCAGACAAACACATGGTCCAGGTCAGAAATAGGTTAATTAAAAGGAGATAAGCAGGGCAGGAAGTCCTGAAATAGATAATATTAGTTGGCATGATCTTGACTTTGAAACTTACTTAATAGTTTTCCTTTTCAGAGAGTTTATTTATGTTCTAAATCTTATTCTTTTGAGCAAGGAGGAGAGGAAATGTGATTAAGTGAGATTAAGTGGCTTTTAATTCACATTTTTTCTCTTTCCAGCTGTATGCCTGCTACTCCTTGTGTTGAAGTCAGTGCTCTTGCATTCAGTGGGGACAGAACCAGAGCCTGAATAAATAATTGAACGCAGTTCAGTGAAAAGTGCTCCATGTGGAATTTCAGAATTGTGATGACACTGGATGTAGCAAACTCTCATTTAACACGGGCAAAAGACTGTGTGTGCTAAAGCACAAACCTGTACATTTGCTTAATTAAAGTTCCTAGAGTCAAGGCAATGGGGAGGGGTGAGGAAGGCTGGGAGGGAGAGAGGGCAGGAAGCCTGTGGTAGCTCAAAGCATTTTGCCTGAGGACAGGAGGCTGCATCAAATCTCTCCCAAATCCTGTCACCTTTTTCATGGGCAGGATTTGTGCTTGCAAATCCATGGCCAAAGAGTTACCTCATGGCTTATGCAGGCACCCACATACAAATTTCAGGACTTGTTCACCTTATCCACACTTAAACTCACTCATTGTAGTGGTAACAAGTCCTCTTTATCTCTCTCATTGCACAGAGAGAATATTTGTGTTCTCCTAAAAGTGGGATGTGCCCTTTGGTGACACAGACAACTGCTTGTAGGTGGCCTATAAGGGTGGCTCAAAAATCATTAGAGAAAGCTATTAATGAAAACAATTTTCAAAGTGTACCTTCAGGGGGATGCAGCATCCGAGCAGCAGCCACCTGTGGTGCAGGGGCCGGGGATTCAAACAACAAAGCATGTGGTGCATCTGCACCAGGGTCTCAGGACACTGAAGAACACCAATTCACAGCCTTGTCAGACCTGACACAGCCTTGTCAGGATGTAGCTATCCTGACTGGGATGTCAATACTTTCTGAAATGGAAAGGCTTATGTAGCCCAATGAGACAATGAAGAGATGCTGACTGCCTGGTTGCCAAATGCAACCTTATGTCATAGATCTTTCAGACTTGAAATTTGGACTGGAAAACTGTAATTCCTCCAGCCACAAAAGAAGACTTTATTTTCTCTAGAAATCAGATCCTTTGTGAAACGAACTTCCCAGGGCTTTTTGGCAGTAAGTGGTATGTTTTTCACCGAGTTGCATTCTTCATATATTGACTATGCTTACCATGAAATTACAAATACATTTAACATTAAATTGGCCAAATTTCACTATCAATTTTCTGATTTGCACCTTTGAAGAAGGGTCTTACAATGCTTAGTGATTGAGCAATAGAATGATAGAAGAAATTCAATGCCAATAGATGTAAAATGGTGCATATGGGGGAAAGAGCACTCTAGCTACATACAGAATGAGAGTTTCTAAATTAGCTTCTGATGTTCAGGAAAGAGATTTTGGAGTCATTACTGATAAGTCCCTGTGAAAATCAGTTCATTGCTCAGCGGTGATCAAAAAGATTATTAGGAATTGTCAGGGAAGGAATAGGGAACAAACAGAAAAAATTAGTTATGCTACCACATAAATTCATGATTTATTTTTATTCTGCATATTGTGCAGTGAACTCATCACCACAGCTTGGAATGGAGAGCTGAAAGTGTCCCAGAAAAAGGAAGAAGCAGGCTCAGTGAATGGAATGACTTCTCTGTGAGAAAAGGCAAAATATACTGGGTATTTTCATCTTGGTGAAGAGATGAAGCCTGATAACATCATGAATGGTAATGGGTAGTTGAGGAAAGAGATTAATTATCATTCCTGACAATATAAGAATAAGGGCTGATGAAATAATCAGCTGGGCGTTTAAAAAGGGAGCACTTCATCACCCAGCATGTGGTGAAGTTGTGCAAGTCATGGCCACGGGATGTTATGGAGACCAAAATAATAAATGGGTTCAAAAGCTGATGGGGCAGTTTGGCAGGGAATAAGGCCATAATTTTCCGTTCAAAATTATATTGAGGATGAAACCCCAGAAGTTAATGTGTCACCAGGAGCAGGAGAGGGCCACTCAGTGCCTGCATTACTTCTCATACGCTTCACTTGAGTGTTTCCTTCTGACCACACTCAGGATATGGAGCCAGGTGAGTCCTTGCTTTTCAATATGGAGACAGTATGGATGTTCTTCTGTTTTTAAAATATATGACTGAGGTATTTATTTTTATTTGTAGGCTTTTCCACATCTTCCATCTCTGTCTGACATGGGAGCCCTAAACGTATCAGTGTCTGTCCCTCACAGCTCTTCAAAATGTCAGAGAAACAGCCAAATCCCTATTTACAAGGGGATCACTGTCCTAGGAAGGGTCTACTGGGACGGGAAAGGCACTGAGGGACTGACAGCCACCTTCTTCCTCCCCATGCTCTGTGGTGCCCTGGAGAAATGGCCATGCAGCACCTTGCCATGCCAGCCCTTCTCCTGCCAGTCCTCCCAGAACTTGCCTCCTCTGGGCTGCATCCAGTCCTTATGACTAAGGCACAGTGAGAGAGGAAAAAAACCCCTCAGTGCAGCAAAGCCCTCAAGTCCTTAGTCAACATCGAAGCGAAGCCTACGTGGTTTGGTCAAAATCCAGCAGCACATCTGTGGAAGAGGTGGGAGCTGGATCCAACCCTCTTCTGACTTGGATAGTAACCTGTAATTACAGCTGTCAGACTGTAAGACACCTAATATATCCTTCTTCGATATTCTTTTTTCTCTTGGTGTAATGTTTTCTTGTATCCAGCATGCTGCAATTCTGGGTTTTTCCCTTTACAGCAGTTGGTTTCTCGGCATAGTCCCTGACCACAAATACTTTCGAGTGGAACAGCTGGCTCTAATGTGTGCTCTAGAAACGTTACTTTCTGCAATATTCCGTTTTTCTCCCAAACAATATTTTTCCTCTCGTGTTTGCCCAGAAAAGCTTGTAAGCTGATCAGCGTCTGAAGCAACAAAGGGTCCATTTGAGAACAAAGGCTCCAAAAGCCACATAAATGATTTCCCAGAACTCGAGGTGGTTGCAGGGGAGATAGTTTGCAGATCAGCCGTGCACATGGGAACTCTGCAAGGCTGCCTCCCTCCTCTTTCTCCGTGCTGCCTCTCCCCACTGGTCCTACCAGTTACCATAACTGCAGAGGCATTCTCACTTTGTTTCTTCACTGGTGATCCCACCTAACTTCGTGGTTTTTAGTTCTCCTTCACTTCTAGCCAAACCTATTTGAATGTTCAGAGGAGGAAATATGGCAACCCAGTTCCTTCTGTTGTTTCTCACTGCCATTACAGCTGCTTTTTTCAGAACTACAGGCTTAGGAGCTGTCCTGCACTGTGTGAGTAAACAAACCTTCACCTACTTAGAGAGGGAGTACTGGTCTGCAAGAAAGAGGCTGTGTACTCAGTAAAGTGGAGATACAGGACGAAGCAGGAATGTTCAATGTACTTTCAGGCATGGGCAACATGAAAAGGCTGCTGAACTCCAGAGAAAACTCTAGCACTCTTCTGGTATGTTTGCAATACAGATGATGTAAATAATATATAGCTCCTGGAAGGAGTGCAGGAATATATAAAGTTTTATGTAGGGGAGCGCTGCACGCATGTGGGAGATTCAGAGGCAGCTACAAATCACGGGCTGGATGCCAACCAGTGAAATGGTGCCCACAGTAAACGAGGCTTGGGGACTGAATTACTTAAGTAATTAAAGTGGATTGTGACTCACATGCTGAAAGGGTAAATTGTGCACTGCCACAATCCACCAAGTTATTTAATTTTGGAAAATCAAAACTCCTCAGTGACGGGGGAGGAGGATTTATTATTCTATTATTTTATCTCTGCAAGCCAAGCTGTAGGCAAATATGATCACGGTTTTTAAGGGTTTGCCTGAGCAGGGCTGTCTTGTTGGCCAGTCACTTCATCATTAACAGAAGGCATGGAGAAATAGAGCATGATTCAAACATGTGAAAAAATGTAGCTTAACCATTTTAAATCCTTTAGGGCTTTTGCTGTTGAGAAGTGAACAAAGCTATGCATACTTTCAGGGGCCTGCTGTCCAGCCATGTCTGGCTGGTGGCTGTGCAAGGTGGAGCTTCCTCTGCTAAAGTGCTCCCACCCATCTCAGAGTGGGCACAGGAGCACCAGATGGAGAAACCTAGAGTTTCAGCTTTCAAGGAGCTGAGGCTGAAACCCCACTCGGCTCCCAAAAGCCTGTTCCATAGATTTCTGTGGAACCTATCAGTTTGCTTTTTGGACCTGGAGACTTGCTTTTCCAGCTCTGTTCTTTGGGGCACACGTGGGATTGAGCTGCCTTGTCTCTTTGCACAGCCACTGTCCCAGACCCCCTTTCTTCTTCGCTAAAAAACAGAAGGTAGAAGAGAAGGTCCCAACTCAGCTCTTACCTCCCATTCTAGCGAAAGGTGTCCCCTGAAATTTGAAATGAGATGAACTCTAAGGTCCCTTCCAACCCAGGCCATTCTATGATTCTGTGACTCTCAATTCAGCCTTTTCATAGTTTTCCTCCCTCCTTTCAACCCAGAGAATACACCTAGTGTCTTTTTCAGTGTTAGAGTCTGCAGCCATTCTTTTTTTTTCCCTCTGCTCATCCATCCATTTAATGCTTAGCATGACCATGAATATTTGCCATATGGGCCTGTCTCTTGATATTTTAATCTGCCCTGAGTTTTGGGTCAGTAATAAGCAATAAGAACAATTATAAAAAAATTTGTCACACTTGAAATAAAACAGAATTATTTATTTTATTCCTCCAAGGCCATATTCTTAATATAGCTTCTTGGACACCTGAGAAAATGCTTATACTGAGATTTTCCTCTGACTCTGTTGAAATGATGCCAAAAGGACAGAGATTCCCTCTGTAATCATTTGTCTGCTTTTCATGCCATTCAGCACACAGTAAATATGGTGAAATAGAGGAAAATTTTTTGTGTTGCTGGAGGTCAATAGAAATTTCAATAATTTTAGAAGAGGTGTGTGGAAAACTAGTTGGCTGGGATAGTTGCACCAGGGGGACCTCGACCACTTTGCACAGTAGCAAGCAGCCTCTTTGAACCCTCCCCAGAAATATCTCTCAGCTTGAAGTCTTGTCTTTGGTGGAGCAAGACTGCTGCTGTGCTGCAGCATCCCCTTCCCCTTGCTGTTCCAGGAGCAGGGTGGTTGGACAAGAGCTTTCATTGGGATGGAGAAAACCAGAGGGATCGACTGAGAGAGCTCTGAAGGAGTGAGGGTGCCACATTTTGGGGTTTTCTGAGTCTGCGTGACCATCTCTTCAATACTGATAATCCAACAGACAGCTACAAAGGAGGCACTGACTTTGTCTGCTGCTTTTTCAGGTGATCACAGGGGTCACAGCCCTGGGTCACGCCCTCAGTGAAGCTGAGTTGGGATCTGACCTGGGGTTCATGCACAGCAGGGAAACACCATGAGGAGTGGGCTGCTGCCAGCACCTCCCCAGGAAATGCTTCACAGAAGTCAAAGGGATCAGGTTAGAAAGTGAAGCAATTTAATCACCGTCTTTTGCAGGAAATGCTTCCACAGATAATTTTGTCCTCGTTTATTAAAACAATCCTTTGATCTGAAAAGGAAAAATCTCATTTTATAGGAATAGTGATTTCTGGAAAAGGTATTTTGAACTAATTTAGATGTAGCTGGCAAATTTTAATTATAGATGAACACTTGCTTTAGCACTTTTTAGTCATATCTTACTCCTCTGAAAGCGTGGTGGATCTGAGTCAGCAGGATGCACAGCTGACTCCAGCCTGGGCAGAGCAGACTCTGCAGCCTCCAGATGTTCTGCACTGTTTTCTTTTCAGTGGCCTTGTGCAGCTCCCTTGGAGAACTAGGTGACATACAGATTAAGACTATTCTTTTTCAGAAGGGATAATCTAGATAACAAAAATGACTAGGAAGAGTACAATTTCTGCAGGTCTGACTCAACAGCATCTGCTTCACTTAAGGCACTGAGAGATTATTGAACTAAGACAGGTGTCCAGGTTTCACTGAGGAAAATATTTTAGGCTGTTTTCACAAGGAATAATAGCTGGAGGAACAAAGTTGTCTTATTTTGAGGGAAACGACAGAGATCAAAACAAAGAAAACACACAAAGAAAGAAGGGCGTGTGATTTTGATGTCAGCTTTTATGTCTCCTTTTTTGAGCATATTAGAGGTTGGTGTTCTGGACATGTACCTAAAAGACTGACATTTTGGAAAGAAAGGAAGGGACAGAAAGAAGAAAATCTGTACCTTGGGTACAGAAACAGGGGTTTACCATGCTGTGGAGAGGTGGAAGCAGATTTATCTCTCTCCAATCTCTCCCTAAAACCACAATGTATGCATGCTATATCCACATGCTCTTAAAACACTAGAGGTGCATATGTTTTTGACAAAGGTTTAGTTATTTTACCTGTCATTGTGATTTATGATTCTTAGAAAACATAGAGCTTCAGCTGGAAGAAAAGAGAAAAGCCACATGGCAGACTATTGCCAAACAAACAAAACCACAAAATATAGATGCCAAACAGCTTCTACACAAACAAAGGGGCAGAAAAACAGCCTCATCCTCCTTTGATACATCTACCTGCTCTTATGAAAGAATATGTACCTGGCTTTTAACCTCCCTTCAATCCTTCTGAAGAGACTGGCTCCCTTACAGCCTGTGCTCAAGGTATTTCCTAACACCTTCATGTTTGATTAAGATCTCAGTTTACAGAAATAAATGTGTCTAACTCTGTGAATAACTCCGTAACTGGCGTTAATTTTAGGTGCTATCACGTATTTTGAATAGCTGAAATACTGTGGGATGGAAAGTGTCTGGGTGGGCAAGGACTGTCATGACTCAAAAATGGCCCTTTCTAGAGCCAGTCAGGACTGAACCCCCGTGTCTTGCTCATGGAGCACCTGCTGTTACCTCAGCCCCACGATGGCAACCCCTGGAGCAACCTTTGCCCAGACAGACAGAACTTTGCTCATTTTGGGTCTCCCAGGTGGTGGGTGTGGGGTGGCTCCTCAGGAACCTGCGATTACAGTAAGTGTTACATATTTAGAGGACGTAACTGTCACAAAGTTTTAAAAGCCCTGTGTCTTTTTGAAAAAGTAAATGAGGAAAGAAATAAAATTCCATAGCTTTTGTTAGAGAGGGAAAACTCATTTTGTCTACTGTGTAAGCATTTAATCTAATGCAGGCTGCTGAACTGCACGCCAGGAAGATGGGACAATGGAGAAGTGCAAGGGTCCAGGGACTGACAGTAGCCAGGAAGGTGTCTGGGGCTGCCTCTTGTCATTCCTAAATTCCTCTGCTTCCATGTTCCCCTGTCGCAGAGAAGGTCTATGAATGGCTTATCAAAGTGGTTTTTTCAGTCCTCTCTAAACCAGATAATTGTTGAAGAAAACAAGTTACTGTCCCAGCTGGCCACACTCAGTTCCTGGAGGCTGAGGTCTGTCCCAAGGACTCTGTGATGGCTCTGGGTGCTCCTCACTTGGTGTTTGCTGAACCATCACTTCCCCATGCTGGAACCAATGTATATTTAAAATAGGAGATGGCATGTTTCTTCTCCTCCTCCCCCTTTTCACAGTTTCTCACAAACACGCTTAAACAGGATGATCAGCCTGCACAGACTTGTCCAGGTCTGGAAATGTGAGTACTTGAACTCAGCTGCTGGTCCTGTCACAGGACAAATCAGCTCCCTTGTCTGTCAGAGTACAAGAGCACAAGACCTCAACTTGGCTGTACGTGTTTTCACTAATGTCTTTTGAACATCTATTACAAAAAGGGGCTGTGATAGGTTATCTGTGTGCTCATCCATGATAAAATTAGTAACTTAATGAGAATTTACCATGGATGCGGTAGGTCTGATTCCACACAGGAGAACTTGGGTTAATTGATTGTG